TATATATATATATATATATATATATATATATATATATATATATATATATATATATATATATATATATGAAATGTACTTAGTTTCGTAGGAACTAATTCCTGGCCAAAAAATTCTTGGTTCAGTCAGAACTTAATTAAAATTAACGACCTTAAATCATCAAAGGTTTTCTGTGACATGTAAACAAAAAAATTTAAAATTGTTTCTGTGGGATTCACATTTAGAATATTGTATCGAACAACAAAATTTAAATGAAAAAAAACATGAAATAGCAAAACAATTGCGAATTAATTCGAAGTACAATAATTCTTTTAACAATGAAGTACTTAATAAATTATTATAACAGCTTGAGTATGGAGAAACAACATTACAAAATACATCAGATTTACTGCTTTTTTTGAGTTTGCTTAAAGAACTCACCGATCTTTTAGTGTAACTCCGTTTAACCTGAAATTTAGTTTCATTTAATTTAATATTATTATTAATGAGTTGCTAATTTGTGAAGATTTTTAAAATGGCATTATAGAGGAAGCGAATCAATTACCTTGGAACGAGGGCAAAATTTGGTTCAATCAATATGTTGCTGTCTAATGAAAATTTAAATGACGGAACATCGAAGTGTTAATTTCGGTTTTTATTATGTACCTTCTTTTACAAAAATAATAAATGTTTTTAATCAAAATGGATAAATAATAATACTGTAGACTATTATCAATTTTGAAATCAGTGAGGAAACCCAAATTCTCCATAATAATTGCTGTGTGAAAAGAAATGCAAAGCAACGGAATCAGGAAACGAAAGAAAAAACACTAACCGTTGTAGAAGAGAGATTCTGAAATAATAGAATCATTCAGAAAAAGATCGTTCTGTATTCTTATAATTTATAAAGCGCTCACTACTAGGAAAACTGTATCGAAAAAATGTTAGGGGAATAAATGAATTTTAGTTCTAGATACTACAATAAAATCAAATCAGCGATTTAAATTTACGATCAATTTTTAGAATGCGAAGAATGAAATGTGCGAAATGGCTGTAGTGGTCAAGAAATTTCTAATTTAATTGGACTGAAAAAAGCAATAAAATGGGACAGAAAGCGAAGAAAAATTAATGCTGCCATAGATAATTTATAGAGATTCTTCTTCTTTTTTTGCAAATATATTCTCTGCTAAGCAATTAAGCCAGCTGTCACAATTAGCAGAGAAAAAAGAATTAAAATAGGCGTGTGAGTATCCCAGTTACCAAACTACATAATTTTAATGAAATACAAAAAGGCATAACATATTAACATCAGATTGCTTTTTGTCAATGTGACTGTTATCTTCCTAACATGTGATTAACATATGATTATCATTGTTATCACCGAAAAGGAATTGAAAATAAACATTTTTCTGTTTGTGATCCAAGTTATTTTTATACTGAAAGCAGAAAAATCTACAAAAAATTTTGGAAACTTGAAAATTGAAATATTTTACAATGAGATAATAGTAGACTTTGTCCGTTCGGTCCTCTCCTCACTGGAATGCGCCATCTAAGAACAATGATGACAGAATACACCGAAAATGAAAGAAATATTTATCTGCTATTAAATCATATGGTTCTTTAACTTTCAGTAGAAAATTTTGAACAATGAATTCAATGACGAAATATTTTCGAAATATTCTATCATCATGAAATTTTTCTCTGTAAAACACGTTTACATTCAGTAATTCTGAAATCAGATTAAATTTCAATTCTGATTACTTTCGCTAGATAAGCCCACGTCTTTAGATATGCATAAACTTTGTGAAAAATACAAGACAAAACATTTTAAACCATATTCAATAATACTTGAAACTTACAAATAAGTAATCTCATTATTAATATCATCGAGAAAATAGTGCATAACATACTGATCACGAAAGCTCTGACTAAGCACAAGCTATGGCTCTGGAAATAATAGATATGGAACATGGCTGTGAATACCCATCTTTTCATGATATTGTCATGCTGATTAGATAATCAGTTGTTTGAATGGTCCAACAAATGGTTCTGTCCCTCACCTTAGCCGACAGGATATCAAAGACATGTTATGAATGTTATATGACCAACAATAAATTATTCCGACTGAATGGGAGGAATTTGTAAAAGTAGGTGGAGGCGCCATGTATGTACCAATTTATCATTAATCTTAATTACTCAAAATTAAGCAATGGAGAACATTTCAATTATGTTTATATCACTTTTGAAAAACATTTCATTTGTTCGCTGTTAGGCAATTACGAAATAGCAAGTTCATAAGTGGTCAATCGCAGATGGGCTCTCACTTTTTATCTGAATAATGAATTAGCTTCGATGAAATTACCAAAATATGATCCATTCTTCACTGCCAGACGAAACTTTTCAAGGAGGATGATGTTTATATGTCGACTCTGAAGAAACTAGTTTACAACTTTCTAAAGTTATAAATTGCAGTAAAGCAACAATTTCGAGAGCGATTAAACCCTCGTTCGGCAATTTTTTACAGCTTTTTGAGCAAGCCTTCTTTTTTCATTTTTTTTAACGAGTAACAGAATTATGAAGTTTGTCTTAGGAACAAATGGAGAAAAATAAAATATATTCAAAAAAAAGCCATATAGAATGAGAAGCAAATTTTCTGTGAATTACCGAAATTAAAGCTACGTTCAAGCAAAATTTCCACAATATCCAACAAACAGGGTGACGAAATCTTGTAAATAAATTTGAAACAATGAAGAGGATATAAGCTAACAATGGACAGTGTAAAACAAAACGTCTCAATATCTACACAATAGGCAATGTCAAAGGCTAGTCATACCTTCACGACAGCCCCAATGGAGCTTACAAAACTCCTCTTTAATCCTTATATACATAAAGACAG